GCTTGCAGCAAAGAAAATTTTCTTTTCGACGAAGTCATCAACTAGGCTGTACATTCGTGTATTTATATTAAATGTGTGAGAAAATTCCAGAATTGTCTCCGGTCAGAGGTCAGATTAATAAAATTACTAAGTGTAATAAACAGAAGATAGGTTATGGTACCATTCTAGAAGTATTTCAGTTCAAAGTTCAAATTAAAAATTCCAATGTATAATAATCAGGAAGATCGGGTAGAAAAGACGAAATAGGATTTTAATTACTGGAAAACTCGTCAGTTTGTATAATTATGTGTTAAGGACGTAGTATTAACCAGATGGGTAGGAGGTTTGGACATATAAAGATAAAAACAGTAATCAAATCTAATAAATGTAGATAGGAATTCTAAAAGGTAAACATAACAAATAAGCGGGAAGTTTGGACAAGAAAGGTAATAGGATAATCATTATTGGTGAGATTGACTTTTCATGATGGCCACGGTAGGGACAACGGTTGGATGTATTTCTTTTGGATACATAATTTAGGATTGAGTTTTTGGATCGCCAGTGCTTCAGCTATTCTTAGATGTCTTGATTTCACTCCCATTGTTAGGTTGGATCGGATCTTGTATATGGCTTTGAGGGACTCTTCAAATGGGGTTGAATGTCCAGAATTCACCAGATGTTATTTTGTCGAACTGTACACCCCTTTGCGTTCTTCCTTTGCTCACCATGCTGGTTAGTGTTCCCGTGCACGTTTTACAAGCGGACGCATGGTACGGCCAATATACTCAGCTCACACGAGCAAGCGAGCTTGTATATGCATGTTGAAGTGGCCCAATGCGACAGCTTGTCTTTCACGTGTTGAGTGAGTAGTTTCCTGCAGGAGAATGTTATTCGTAGGCTGGTGGCGTAGTATGTTTTAATGAGAGACTTTGAAAGCCGTCTACGGAGAATTTCTGCTTCGGTATCACTTTTAAATTCGAGGTTTAATATCAGCATCTTTTCAAGGGCGACTTGGACCTTCTCAGGTGTTTTCCTTGATTTCAGATTCTTTCCTATGAATCTGGGTGGGAATTCATTTTCTATCAAGGTCGCTCGGAGATTTTGTAATTCTTCGTCGATTGACTCTTCAGTGCAAATCTTCCTGATCCTCGAAGAAAGAGAGTATATTAGGTTTCTCTTTCTGCTTAGAGGCACACAGCTTCGAAAGTTAATAAACTGTCCGTTCCATGTGGGCTTTCTGCAGATGGATCTTCTTAGAGAGTTGTCTGCATTCCTTCTTAGTTGAACATCGAGGAAATGAAATACTGAGTCAGGCTCAACTTCCAGGGTGAAGTCAATGTTTGGGTGGGCGTTATTGAAGATTTGAAGTATATTTTTTTAGATCAAAATTCTCATCACAAATAATGAAAGTATCATCGATGTATCTCTTGCAGAGATGGAGGTCGTCGATAGTTGATGATAAGGAGTTGTTTTCTAATCTAGTCATAGATATTTTAACAAAAATCTCTATAGATCTTCGGAAAACTGAATGAGAAACAAATAGTTACCATTCTGTCCTTGCACTTGTAACTGAATATCTTTATCCTGTCTTCTATTTGGCTACTTAATCTTTGGCTTTAACCTCCACCCCCACCCCCATCCCAATTTGATACATTGTAGCTCTGCTTGTCTCTTGTCTCTATGATTTGAATTGAACTCATCACATTACTACTCAATTTACTAATAACTCATGAATTTATTTATACATCTCTTGTATTTATCACGCAACTCTTTTGCCACTGTAATCAAGCCTTTATTTTGTCTAAACTTGAACTTTCTAGATTTAAACTACTATTAAGTTTGGAGTCTTCTGTCAACTGAAAATATGTAACATTTACAAATATGATAAAAGTTCATATCAAAGTATGGGGAAGAGAAACCTCCTGGACCGAAACCCAAATTGGTTGAAAAGAAAGCAGTTTTAATCTCTCTAGCGTACAAAAGCGAAGAAGTATTCATAAGATCAGAAAACAGAATCAAAGGCGCATTGAAAAGAACATTTCCTGTCTCTAGACTCATTCCACTTTAAAACACAGTATGCTCGTTAACCCAGTCAAAAGCAGATAAGCATCCTGTACCGCATGTCAACTCCAACTGCATTTACAAATTCACCTGCATTTGTGACAGCAAGTACATAGGAAGAACTGAGAGGGGTGCGTCCACTAGATTATCAGGGCATATCCATAGAAGCCTCCTTTAGAAAGGCAGCAAACCCTTCTCAGGGGCAATTGCCAGATACCTTATTGACACAAAACATACAATGGAAATTAGTCAGGCTTTCAAAATAACTTTTGATGTGGTTGTTTTCTCTGAGCTGGATAGTTGATTTGCGAAGCTTTCATCATCCTACTAGGTGACATCTTCAGCGCATACTTCAATTTGAAGTGAGCTTTTAGATTTCTCCACGAGTTTATTAATCATCTCTCCTGGCGACCTTGGACGTGATTGGTTGTTTTTGTTTGTTTTCATACCTTCTAGGTTGCTTGTATTGTCACTCATTGTTTCTTTAACTTGAACTTTGACCCTTTGTGTGTGACGTTTCTTTCTTATCGGTTGATAAATTTTGTCTATCTCGATGTGTCTGTTGATTGATGATTCACTGGAATGCCAAGCTTCTAAAAATTCTCTAGCATTCTTGTTGTTTCCTCTGTCTAATATTTGAACAACCTAGCAACAACAACCTGGAAGGTGTGAAAACAAACAAAAACAACCAATCACGTCCAAGGTCGCCAGGAGAGATGATTAATAAACTCGTGGAGAAATCTAAAAGCTCACTTCAAATTGAAGTATGCGCTGAAGATGTCACCTAGTAGGGTGATGAAAGCTTCGCAAATTAACTATCCAGCTCAGAGAACACAACCACATCAAAATCATCCACCTGAGCTACAAATCTTCTCTATCATTTCAAAATAACTGAAAATATGTAACTCTTACCAGTATGCTGGAATTGTTGTGTACATCAACGTAATAATTTGTTAAGGCTGTTTAAGGTAGTTGATCAGTTGAGTAACTAGTTGATGATACGATCTTATTCTGCATAAACTGTCAATCTTGCTTTATTCAAATTCGTGGAGCGGAATAAGCGAATCAATTTATTATAATAATAATAATAATAATAATAATGGTATTAGTATAACCCTACACAAAATTCTCTGTTATTACATAGGAGTTAGTTAAGAAAGAAAATCTTAGAGTAAAATTTATGATAGAATGAAATTTTAATCTTTAAAACATGTGATACAGAAAGAAGAAGAAAAAGATTCTACAGATCTAAATATCAACTTGTCAAGTTATTATTATTATTAATAAAATTCTAAATATAAAAATAATTAAATGACTAACTTACTTGGAAGTTGTTTGAATGTTGTGATTAACAAGAGGTAAATAAACGAAAGTGAAGAAACTAAACTAAATTTTCGTAAACAACAAAATGTCTTCTGCTGTAATCGCTGACAATGGAATTTTCAAATCATTGACAGATTTAAGATTTTAAGATATCAAAAAAAGAAAAAACACACAACAAAATACGAAAGAGTAAATGAAACTTTTTTTTACCCTTTTATGACGTTCATTGTGCAATATTAGTGTGTGTGTGTGTTTGTATGTTTTAACATGACAGTTAATGTATGTGGGCTGCTAGTGTTATTCACTTTTTAATCACTTTTTTTATAAAAAATCATTTTTTTTCCGAATTTGTAGTTTACAAAGAATGAGGATTGATATTTACCATCTTTGTGAAAGTTAACTATTTCAAACCAAGTCACTTTATTCTATGCTAACTAAAAATACCTTGGGGAATATTAAATAATAAAAGTTGATCTTGGATTTATGTCATTCAGAGAACCATTCAAAGCCAGCGGAGTACTGCATAAGTGTTTCGTCCTAGTTTGAGACCCTTCATCAGTGAGCAACCAGTGGGGGTCACAACCAGGGCCCTCCAATCATAAGGCAAGTTCATAGAATATTCTGTGACTGAGAGCCGATCCATCTGGGACCTTAACCCCATGAAAAGCACTACTGTTACAGAAACTTCAAGACTCATGCTTGAAACCTTGTATTCCCCTGTGAAAATGTTGGTATGAAAGCAGAAGAAGAATTCACTAGTCATTGAATTCAAGTCCAAATGGTTGAAGGATCAATGACTTTAGACTTATAACCTGAAGGTCTGAGGTTTGACCTTTAGTAAGGTCGTGGATTCGCACCACTAAACAGTCCCAAGATAGGACGTTGCAAGCCTCACACTCAATCTTTCCCATGTAAGATGATGCTACAGGACTGGACTACATTGACTCCTAGCTTAAAGATAAGGAGTGAAGTGGTAGAGCGTGCTGAAAACTTCAATTATTTGGGGAGTTGCATCAACCCCAACGGGTTGTTCGCTGATGAAATCTCAGCTGGGATACAAAAAGCTCGTGTGGCATATGTCAACTTACTCCATCTCTGACGTAGACGTGATATCCTGCTGTCAACCACAGGGCGTGTATACTTCTCAGCAGCTGAGTCTGTTGGTGACATGGCTCAAAGTTGTTCTCAATGGCGCAGATGCATTCACTCTTTATGATTTATCATATCCAATAAAACTCTACTGTTCTTCCATGTTACTATTCTTTTTGCCTCACACTTCTGTTTATTATCTCTTTTTACTCTCTTCTCTTAGTTTGTGTTAAATGGAGTGTGGCGACTCGAACCGCTGCACATCTGTGCCAAGTGCTACGTTGAAACCAGTCAGTCAGCCAGTTTCCCTTGTTTACCGAACCTACTACCGGCTAAGCGAGGTTTAGGAGTACGTCGGCCGGTAATCGAACCTTGCTGGTTATGGAAATATGTGTTTATATTTACCAAGAGTTAATCTCTCATGTAATATTTCGTGGAAAGGTTAATGATTGTCAATCTATTAGGCTGTATATTCAGGAGAGTTGTATTGTCACTGTTTTGTTGGAAACTCAGATGTTTAATCTCATCATTGTGTTACCACATTTGAGATGTTTCTTTTAGAATCGCATGTAGCTTTCCCCATGCCTATCTGTCATCTACTTTCAAATCATTGTCAAGTGTTGGTTTCCAGAGCTTTTAAATTATCTTTCTTGTGTTGTTTTTTGTATATTTTAGAATGGAATTTCCTATCACAACCATCAGTTGCCCGAAACGATCTGATCTCTGTTCAAATGAACACAAATCAAACACCAAATCTACCTAAACTGTCATCTCACCAGTCAGATGTATTTCGATCTTCAAGTGGTGGGCGTGTTTCTACTTCAAGTTCTAATACGCCTATATCAAATTCTATGTCATCTACTCCTGGTTCAGCATCAATAGGAAGTCTACTACCTCGATCACCTCCTGTACAAAAAACAGATAAAACTATACCACCATCACAGGATGAAACAGTTACAGCTACAAAAACAATAACAATACCTATTGAATTAGACAAGCCACAGCATGATATTATAGGCGATAAGCTGCCTCCTGTTTCTAGTCAAAATGTCACCTTTAACCCTTTGACCTCAGACAGCGTAACATGTTATTCATTACCACATCCTCATCATTTATCTAAACCATATATGAATGTTGGTATCCCTTCTGAAAATCCTATTGATATATATTATCCGAACAATGAAAGTGATGAGATAGGTGATATGTATAGTAATTATGGTAAAAAGTCGTATGATTATTTTGCCACAGATAGTGTTCTTTTAGTCCGATCGTCTAGACGGCGTAAAATTCGTCCTGATTTACAAGTGATGCCGTCAATGAATACTAATCTAAAAAGCTCTGATCCCCCTTTTCACTATCATCATCATCACTCCTCCTCCTCCTCCTCTTCCTCCTCCTTCTATCCATTCTACTGTCGCTTACTCATCATCACATTGCCAGGGAAATGAAAATGACTCTTCATTGTCTTCAATTTCTTCGTCTACTACTGCTGGTGTTGGTGTTGGTGCTGGTGCTCCTGTTGCCTCGACCGTCCTAGCATCTACTTCTCCTGCTACTGTTGTCGTTCATACAATCGGCCCTTCAGGAATGATATCTAAAAGTAGTATGACAACTGATTGCTGTTCATCAGGTTATCAATCACACTCGAGACAATCAAGTCTTGAATCTTAAGCTAACTATAATTAGCTCTGATCAACTCTTATTATTATTATTAGTAGTATGATTGGGTCAACTTGATAATCCTGATCAATAGTGGCATGTGTATATAGAAATCTGGTAAGTGTAAAGAGTGTTTATATATAACTTCCAATTATATTCCAATCAGTAAACAATAGTTTCTTTGATGCATTTCAGCGTAAATTAAGTGGATGTGGTTCACTGTAATCCTTGTCTATGATATTCGTAAATAGCTGTATTAATTCACTGCTGGCATCAGCAAGTAGAATTCGATCAGTCATGTAAGACTTTGTGTTACTGCTCAGTTACCCACAACAGATTTGATTCATACATTAGGCTAACAGTCACCCTTATTTTATCAGTCCCGATTGTAGTAGCCAGTCTGCCGAGTTGGATTAGGTGGAGCCTGATTTGAACCTGCAGTATCAGCTAATTGTAAATGAAGCGCCAAATTCAGTGGGCTCTATCATAATCCTGCCTTTATTCCAAATAGTACTTTTGATAGCCTGTGGAGTTTTCAGAATAAAATACGATGTTAACCTACTACAAATATCCTTCATCCCACGACGTCGCGTCATTGGCTATTTCCACTGAGTCCCAGGGATAGCAATCTAAGACCGATACAGTTAGGAAATAAATAATAGCATTTGCATTTACAATACTGTCCAACAAGAATACCAACTTAAAATAAAGTAGAAACAGTGGCAATAATGTATATATATGCATATATATACATTTGACAGGGACAACTGACTGATTTCCGATAAAAAGCTATTCATTTTGGAACAGTGTGACCGAGATGTCAGATCAACGACATACTTCCACTAGATTGGCTTCATCAGAATGAAACAAGTCATGCAAGAAGAAAATGGATCAGAATTGGAGAAATATCAGCTCCTTGAGGAACACCGTCTTAAGTCAGTAAAACAGTGGGAGACGTTTCTTTATATACAGTGTACTGCTTCGTATGGGAAGAATAAAATAATATAACCATTGATTCATCCAACACCCTGTTTGTGTCACAGAAAGCTTGTTTAACTAAAGAGACCTGGGTACAGAGTCAAAGGCAGATGTGTAGTGTAGGGAGTCATACCGAACACATTTACTATCTCTGTAAAAACCGGAGACAGTATAATGATGTCAGACAACAGTGACATGTTGAGTACACCAACAATGTTTTTGAACAATTTGTGAAAGCAGTCTTTCCATTATTTTAGAAATGTTGACTCATGACTCACATTTTTTATTTTGTTTTGATTATAGCTTGAAACCACCTAGGACTTTTGGTAAAAATGTGGAATTTTCAGCTTGTGATATCGGTAGCCAAAATTTTGCAGGTCGACAACTGATATCAGGTTCGCGTCGGCAGGGGATCGAATCTCGGACCATGTGCATGGTCGGCGAGAGTCCTAACGTCTGTTTCACCGACACACATAGTGACTTAGGCATTGCAAGAATTTTAATGAAAAATGATTCCTTGAAAATATCAGTGGGAGGATGATATCAAATACCCACACATTTTCTGAGGCTATTAGCTGGCACACCATTTGGACCCCAGGGATTGAATGGATTTCATTGACCGGAGACATTTGAGAACCTTATTTATTAAAGAAAAACAGCAGATGGATCATTCGTTACACTTTCATTATAAGTGATGGTAACATCCGCCAGACTACATATGTAGGACTCATTAAGCCTACCAGAATCGCAACTTCAGCCGAAAATGGAAGGAGTTTACACCGCTTCTGTGATACGAACTAGAAAGTATCATTTCAATGTAATTTGTTGATGCGTAATTTACCGCATAACATTCTAAGCATAGTTTGTTGTTGACAACCACAATAATTTCAAACTTTTCGTTTATCTGTCACCATACTGTATCATTCTGTTTTCTATGTGTGTGTGTGTGTGTGTAGTGTCATAGAATAGAAGAAGTATTCAGAGAAATTGTTATTTTCGTTGTTTAAGAATCAATACAATAATGAAATAATTATACATCCTTCAAATTAAACAACATATGAATATCTTTAAGTAATTCACACATTCAGGATTCAATTAGTGTTTACTTTTAATGATTAAAATAGAAATTTGTTCCTTCACGCTTACACCGTAGAGTGTTTCCTGAGCTTACTTGTTATTGATGAAATATATTTTAAACTATATTTACAAGTGGCATTTAGAGGAAGGAGAACATTTGCTGAGTATAGGCTACTGATATTATCTTATGATTGAGATATTCGCAATTAGAGATTCTTCTCCCATTCCTTTGTGGTTTTCGTTTCAATAAATTCTAGTGTAGATTTCACCACCATCAGATATCACAGTCTGAGAGTGATTGAAGACCGCGAGGCACTGAACAGTGATCTGTTTCCTCGTAGTTTGAGACTTTTCGTCAGTGCACACCTACGACCTGACCAGGTTTGGAGCCCGGCACATTTATGTTACAAGGCCGAATTCGTTTATCATTCAGCCACTTGAGTTTGAATTCAATGAACCATGAATTCTGACTTCTGTCAGTTCTTGATAAATATTGATCCGAATCCCCAGAATAATCCATAATCTGTGTACTAGTTTTCAGCTTGTTGGTAACTGATTGATGGATGAATGTTCTGAAGCTGTACTGAGGAGGTAGGGATCATTGGGGTCCACCAAGTGGGAGTGAAGTGAATGCTCATCGTAGTCATTGGTTGGTTGCAGCGGTATATCACGAATTGACTGAAGTTGGAATACACGGGATGCGTTGTTGATTCAGAAGTAGAATTCTCACCAACTATGCACGTGGTCCGGTGTTCGATTCTCTGCTGGCGCCTACCTTTACCTCTTTTAGTCGGTTGTAAGCCTAGTAAAGAGGCAAGGTTGTGCGTGAGACTACCAACCCGAACCCGTCGAATGTAGCAATTCTACTGAAACTTCAATGCTCAAGGTTGCAGTCCTATATTCCACTGGGAGTGTTGTGCAGCCAAGTTATGTGGGAGAATACTCCATATCACTCACACTATCAGCAGTTCAATCTCCCTAATGACTGTAAGTAAGTGGCAAACATGTTCGTGTGCTACTTCAGCTTACTCCAGGCTATACCAGTTAGCAGTAATAGAGATTTTGGCTTGAATGGATGAATAGCTAAACACTTTACAGTTGTGTTCATTCGGTATAAGTGTGAGTGTTTTTCGCTAAAGCTTACATGAAAAGTGTGTGGAGCTTTGCTTCTTCTATCTCTTCCTTTCCCCACAACTCTTCCGTTAAATAGATTACATATGTGTTTCCTAAGCATTTGTTCAGTTTTCCGGCTCGTGTAAGCGTATACATGCACACACACACATGGACACCCATGCCATTCACACAACTCTTAGATTTTCACTTCGATAAGTGTCTTTTGGATTATTTTGCCCAGATTAAAGTGTATCACTTTAATGGGTATGTTTGATGCTGAATACTTATACGAAGCATAAATTAAACTTATTTTGAAGATTTAATTTGTATGGATTTGATTTGTTTGAAGTTTGATTACGAATTTGTAGAAGTTTGAATTCATGGACCATTGGATGAGGTTCCTGTGGCTGGACAATCTACGAGCTTGACCTGTAACCGGAATGTCTTGCGTACGAACTCCGGTGGGTGCGTACCGCTAAAGAGTCCCGAACTAGGACGAAACAGCAGTCCAGTTCTCTCTGGTGTTTTTCAAGGATTATGTCAACTAGTGATCAAACTAGTAGCCGGTCAAATCCCCACAAATTAGCTATTGACAGAATGTATCTTGAATTTTGAACATTCCTCTTGTAGAGTGGTTAAATTATCTATCCATTAGTATTGTGGACTACAGTTGTAGATCTAAATGAAAATTATGAATTTATTAGACACTTCAGTAGTGTACTATGGTTGCTTGTGCAAACTAGTTCCCCTTTGAACGAAATTTGAACCATATCTATTAAAGTAAGGCTTACAATGAATTCTTCTAAGTTTTACTGTGGGCATGTTTAATATTTCAGTATTAATTTTCGTCTTGTGTTGATATCATTTCACGCGTCTGAAGCAAACCGATTAGCGTACATCTCACTGATGAGTTTAAGTAAAACTGGTTGACTCTTCTTTACATTTTTAGATGCACTCTATCTAGCTTGTGAACAACGTTCATTTCCCATAGTGTACAAATTGTTCCTAACAATAACTTTTTGTTATTCTTTACGATCTAATGAAATTTTGATCGTAAAATAGTTGATTCATTGCAGAGAGTGAGGGAGAACTCAATTAACTGTTCTTTACTGTTCGCAATTTGACAAGCCCTAATAACCACAAGAGCTTAAATTGAGATTGCATATTGTGCTGTATTCATCTATTTTGTTAAATGCCTTGACCTAATTAGTTCATCAACTGTTGCAGTATTGTCTTGTAGAGCAGCCTTAGATTTATATCCTCAATCGTTTTGTTCACACCTTTTTGAATCCAGTCGAAATTTGGCCTGATTTGTTGGATAATCTTTGTTAGCCCCATTTTGCCTTATTAGATTTCCTCTTATTTCGTTGGCTGACTTTTATTAATATTATTGTTATAAGGAGAAGTAGATATGTCCCCACTTTTGTGTTGATTGAATAGGCGGATAGTTTGAATGAGAACATTAGCTGTTTGCATACTGAATGTGCACAGCACAACTTGACACTACCAAGATCACATAACTATTTGGTGATAAATGGGTAAAATTTATGACAATGGCCTCATTCCAAACAGAGTACCTTTGATACTGTCCTTCCATGAGAAGCAGACACAACATTAGTGGAAAATGATTCCTTGAAAACATCAGTGAGAGGGTGAGATAAAAATGTCGACACATTTTCTGAGGATAATAGTTGGCACACCCTCTGAACCTAGGGATTGAGTGGGTTTCATTCACTGGAGACATTTGGGAATATCTTTTGTATTAAAGACAGAAAAGTGGTGATTCTGCTCATTTACACCAACAGAAATCATAGCATCTGCTGTACAACGTATGAAGGATTTATTAAGCATACCGGAATCGGATGAAGAAGGATCATTATTAATTTGCCTTCCACCAGGAATTTTCTCAAAAAGTTTCTACATGTTTTAAGAGAAAAGGATGTTTGGTT